ATCTATGAAAATTAGTAGCAAAAATTGGGGGTTTAAGGCTTGGAAATTGGAGACCTTGTCTAGGGATTTGAGGGGTCATTTGTGGTCGGATTTTGGTATTCTTGGTATGTATAAACTCGTGGGAGAATAAGGAGTTTATTGATGTAATTTTTATCAGATTCTGAAACGTGGGCCCAGGGGTCCGGTTTGGCCAATTTCGGAATTTGTGTTGTAATTTGATTATTTTTGCATGGCTTCGTTCCCTTAGCATATTTTGACGTCATGATTCTGATTTTGGATAAATTCGACGAGAGTTGAGGCCAAGTCGAGAGGCAAGGGCGTCGCGGAGTAGTATTTCATCCGGTTTGAGGTAAGTAACCATTGTAGATCTGGACCTGAGTGTATGAAATCCCGGTATTTCATATTGTTTTGATAAATAAGGTGATGCATATGCTAGGTAACGAATGTGCGGGCGTGCACTGATAGGGATTGTGACTTGCTTCGTCCCATAGCGACTATTAAGCCACGTATTTTGATTAAAAATCTTATGGCATTCCGTGTTTTAGAGATTGAAACTATATGTTGGGTTGTACGTCGTGTTTGGGGCCTTGTGCCGGCTTGTTTAGACCCTTAAGGGTATTTTTACTATTTTTGCTCACTCAGTTTGATTTGAAAGCATATCCCCAGTCATGTTCTACCTGTTATTTGTTTAAGACCGATTTCATCACTCTATTTCTTATATATGAAGACTGTTTGGGATGAGTTCCCTGATTTTTCACTGATATACCCGAGTGGCCGTAAGGTTAATGACTGAGAGAGGTTTAGACCTAATGGTGAGGATTATATATATCTATTATGGATCGGACTATACACCACAGCGATATTATATATATGGATCGGGTTGCACGCCGCAGCGATATACATATGGATCGGGCTGCATGCCGCAGTGATATTCATATGGATCGGGTTGTATGCCGCAATGATATACATATGGCTCGGGCTTCATGCCACAAAGATATATTGGATCGGGTTGCGTGCCGCAGCGATATGAAGCTTGGGCTGTAGGAGCCCTTCTAGAATCTGCACACCCCAGTGAGCGTAGTCGACTATAAACTATGAATCGGGCTGTACGTCACAGCGATTATTATTATTATTATGACTATACGATATTTATTAAGTCGGAGTGCTGAGTGTGAGTACTGTGTGCCGAGAGTTGAGTCACGAGTGACTGAAAGCTATACTTATGAGTGATACCTTGCCCGGGGGGCTTGTCTGTGACATTTTAATGCTTTCCACTCTTCTCTTATATTGAGCCTTTTTGAAAAATGGTGAATTAAATGCTTTCAAAGGATTTTGAATTGAAACTGGAGTTTTATTAGATAACTGGCTATTAAATTGCAGAATTTAACTTGAAATTTCTGTTGAAACTCTTTATGTGATTTTAAATGCTCATCACTCCACTTAGATTTTATTTACTTTAGTTACTTATTGAGTTGGCGTATTCACGTTACTCCCTGCACTTTGTGTTCAGATCTAGGTGCCCGAGCATCAAAGTGAGAGCTTCCAGCACTCTCAGAGTTTTGCCGGAGACTGCAAGGTAGCTGCACGGTGTTCACAACCCTGCTTTCTTCCTTCCTATCTTAGTATTCTGTTATTTCAGATTTATGATGTATTATTCAGTCAATTTGAGTTGTATTTAGAGGCTCTTGACTAGTGACACCGGATTTGTTTGGGCTGTGTTGGTATTATGTACTGGTTTTCCATATATTTTGTTTTATTCATCTATTTCATATGACGAATTTGAGACTCATTCGATATAAGAAAATGATTTTTTATAAAAGATTTTGTTGTGGTAAATGTTTGATTGGCTTGCCTAGTACTATGATAGGCGCCATCACAACCATGGTATTTGGGGTCGTGACATATCCAAAACATGATAAAATCCAAACAAGAATCAATGTACATAGCTCGAATTCTGATTAATTGTTCCCCAGTGGAGTCGCCAGAGCTGTCACACCTCTTTTTTCCCGCAACACTATTATGGGATTGAGTTAGAAGAGTTTTTCCAATTAAAGTGATGTTTTGAAAATGATTTAGCGTCTCCACTTGGAATTGAGTTTTGGTATTCCAAGTCACCTTTTATTTTAATCCCTTATCAAACGGAAGGTTTGACTCCTTATTTATGGTCTACAAAAATAGAAGACTGAGTAAGGAATTCTGTTAACCGAGGGAAAGGTGTGAGCCACCCCTTGAGTCTCGTGATTCTAGCATAGTCTCCTTATTAACTCATGTCCGGCTTAAATTAATTCTTGGCTATTCTTATATTTTATTGGCTATGACTTGTCTATTACCACTTCACTTAATTTATTATATTTTATTAATTATTTTGACCTACATGCAGTACGCACACAAAGTATTCCTTTGAAGTTAGATGTTAAACCAAGGTACGGAAAATACACATAGTTAAAATATAATTATTTTAAATGTAAAGGTATCGAGATGCGGGAATGCACACATGATCCTTTTATTATTTAAGCATATCAATCCAACGTTCGGTATGAATATATGGGCTAATATTTAAAGTGTGTCTAAAGCTTTTCTAGATTATTCAGAGATTTCAATTATTATTTTTGCGATATTTGAGATTGTTGTGAGGCCATAGTTTATGGATATAAAATTATTGTGGAAAGAATATATGGTTTAGCTCACTTGTTTCAAGAGACATGTGAATGACAAAAGGTAAATGTACTCTACGGCCCATTAAGTTGCAACTTCAAATTTATTTTTAAAAGGAAACCTAACGGATGAAGGAAGTAAACGATAATCTCCAAAAGGGACTTTCACAATTTTGCAACTGAAAATCACAAAGTAATACGCATATTAATGAAGAAAAAGAAAAAGTAGAAAAAAAGATCTTTGTATTTTCTTCGAATTTTTGCAACTTAACCAGTAATAACTAATAAGGCAATTAACGAGTAAAACATAAACTTGAGCTACCTAAAAATTGGACAAAATATGTGAACATATATAGTGTGCCACGGAAACCTTTTGCTTAAACATGCAAGAATGAATCACATTTTTTTAACTGATGCTCCTACGAGCCTAAGCGAAAATACACCGCAAATCCGGATTAAAACATAGACAATTCAATAATGTGCTCGACATAACATTCATACCAACTTAACAATAGATGATGTGAAGATTAACAGGAAAGCTTCATTCATCCATGGCATATTTAGAGTAAAAATAAATAAGAAATAGACTCTTTTATCTTTCTCATGTAGCTCATAAACCTGCTGTTAGAATGTTCATATCAACAAATAATTATGTAATAGGCTATCAACACGAATCACTTGAGGAGAATTTTCATAAAAAACAGTGACAATATTAGGAGAAAAAGTAGTAGATCCAAGAAAGAAACAAACCTCTAATGCATCAAAAGAAATTTTTCCTTCTAAATATAAACAAAGTCAAAGCAGGTACAAGGAAGCAACTTTCGAATCTTCAGAACCAAAAACCGTAACAAAAACTTCGAAACTCGCCGGAACTCGATGAACCTCGGACATACTCAATTGGGCTTGCGCATTTTTAATGGCTGAGATTTGGACTGTTCTCGAGCTGTTTTCAGCTGAGTTCGGTGGTTATTTAATGGCTAGAATTTTGCCGCTGACGTTTAGTATCGGTAATGAGAGAAAAAACAAAAATTTTGGCGGCTACTAGCTTAACTCTTTGAAGCTTTCTTTCTCTCTCAATTTTCGTTCCTCTCTTCTGTTCAAAATTTTCTCTTTTTCAAAATATTGTCCCCTTTCTTTTCAGATGCAAATGTAAATTATATATAGATGTGTGTGTGCTCTATAACTGACGTGAGGAAGTGAGGAAGTAGGGAGTGGGGAAGATTTATGAGGGGAGACGTGATGGTGAGGGGAAGTGAGGGAGTTAGGGAAATGAGGGATTGGGAGGAGCAGATAGTTAGGATTTATATTTTTTTTTCTTCTTATTTTGTTATTTTTTGTTTGGCTTTTTTTTTTTAAATGAAAACAAGAGAAAGTAACATATATAGATTAAAATATTAATCAATTACTTTTATACTTAAATATTTTAAAATTCTTATTAGAAGAAACAAAATATTTTTTTATAAATTTTCTTTTTCTCTTTGTAAATTAGAAATAAAATTTGTACTACAATATGTGAATTTTAATTTTAAAAAAATTCCAAAACAAACCATTAAAATAAGATAAAAGTTTAAAATATCAAAATTAGGCCTAAAAACAATATTTACAATAAAATTTTAGTATGGCCAAAAATTAATTGTTCACACCATTTATCAGAATTTCGCTGCAGTTTGCCTCATTTCAATAATACCTTCGAAGAAATCCCATTACTGTATTATCTTTTTTTTTCTTGTCTTTTTTTTATTTTATTAGAAAGGTAACATCTTCACTTTTATTTTTGGTATTATCCATAGCAGTGGTGAAGTCAGAAATTTCCCCGATGGTATTCAAACTTGAAAAACATAAAAAAAAAATCTCTGACAAAGGATGTTCAATATATGTTATATATCTCCACAATCTAATATTTTACCTATATACGCAGTATAATTTTTAATGAATAGTGGTCAATTACCGCTATTTCCAAAGTATAGCTTCGCCCGGATCCATAGTATTCAGCAAAATAAAAATGAATATACATCCCAACAATAATAATGTAAACACTAAATTTAAAATAGTACTCCCTCTGTTCTAGTTTATGTGAACCTATTTCCTTTTTGGTCCGTTCCAAAAAGAATGAACCCTTTCTAAATTTGGTAATAATATAGCTTAAACTTATAACTCTACCCTTAATGAGAAGGGTTTATAACCACACAAATACTCTGGGCCCCATTTGGACTTGTTTAGGACCACAAATTCCAAAAACCTTCATTTTTTTCTTAAACTTCGTGCTCAGTCAAACAGGTTCACATAAATTGAAACGGAAGGAGTACAAATTAAATATATGCAAGAACTATTAATTAGGTAATTAAGTAAGAAATAATTGATACATGCATAGACCAAAAGGATAACTTTTATTACAAAGACACTATTGGTAATAAACCATATAGGAAAGGACAAAAGATAAATGAGCATTATTACGTTTTATTTAAACCATTGTATACTTCATTTTAAAGTAGTAAAGGAAACTAGCAAGTCCTGTAGCAGCAGCATTGACGACGAACCCCATGACAGCGTCCTCCATCAAAGGCCTCGCCTTGGCACTTTTGGTTGCAAGTGTGACCACTGACACAAACGCCGAAGAAGGTTCTGCTCTTGTATTGGCATAGCTTTGCTTCTACCTTTCTTGGACCTATTTCTACATTCATAAAAGTTAATGACATTAAGATATAGAAAATGCTAAAAAGATTGTTTACAATTTCTATCGGAAAGGAGTCCCAAGAATAGCTAATGTCAGGATATAGAGTTGTACTCTAGTTTGGAAAAGTAAATTTATTTGATAAATTAGGATTCCTTCAAGTTACAAAGTAATAGAGGCATTTACGCGTGAATACAAACATATATTTTATGTACGCATATTTACTGTCACACATATGATACGTGCGTATTATATTTACAGCATATATTTGTGCATGTAATTAATTCAGCTCCTACGTAGTAGTTTTTTTTTTTTTTTTGGGAGTAATTATAACCTACCAAATAAAGATATCGAGTTAACATATCAACCTTTTTTTTTATGCTATACAACTACTGAAATATTCTGATCCAGTGTCTCTATGGCTCTGTCAGAGAGAGTGGAATTCTTGCATATAAACCAAAGGGATAAGTCACTATTAAAGAAGACAAAAACCAATTATCTTTCAAATACAAAATTTAATCATACAAGGGGACAAAACATCTCCAAACGAAAGGAAAATTTAGTTTGTAACTAAGGGAAAACATCAATACACCCTAAAAATATAATAATAAGATCCCTACCAGAAATAATAAGGGACAAAACATGATTATTTAATTTATTTTCATCCTAAAAAAAATTAAAGAAACCTAACCTAGTGGGAAGATGTGTAAAGGACACAATATATATACCATTTGCTGAGAGGAGAAGCATTAGGAAGAGAAGCACAGCAGTTGTAGGAAAAAGCTTCATTTTGAAAGAGATCTAATTAGCTCTTCGTGAAGATTTCCTTATTAATATTTTTGTTATGAAAGCTATGTGAAAGTTAAGGATTTTATAGGGACAAAGGGTGATGCTTACTATATTTAGGAGTAAGAATTCATAGACACCTGTCTCACACCATGCAAATTGAGCTGAAGCTCAAAACTATGGTGTCAAGAAAAGACCGCTACAAATGGCGTTCTGCCATTTCATGTGATGTAATTGAGACTGTCCCTATCCTCTCTACAGATGGAAACAATTAACTATCTAGTTGGGGCATTCACCAAAGTACTGATATTTGATAGAGAATCATTTAACCACACGGAAGAAATTTATAATTTAGAAAACATACATACACAGTGCGAGCGAGACAGAGATATGAGAAAATGATGAAATAGAATTATCAATGAACTAGTGAAAATGCTATCAAATAAAACCTTGTTGGATATGCAAAGTAAATCTTTTCTAATACCCAAATATAAAAATATGTTAAGATTCCTTTTAGTCTTCAAATCCAAATACATCCATTTTATTACTTACCGTAAGATCTATAATTTTTTTCTAATTTTTCACTATTAAGAGTATTTTTTTTTTTGGTCAATCAAAGAGGCGTATATCATAGATTAAGTGATTTTACAAGGAGCAGAGTCCGGTGGTGGTTCATCAAGCTGCCAAGACAGAGTTCGTCAAGCTGTCTAAAGTTTATCACTGCCTCCATTGTGTACTACATTACTATTACAAGAGTTCGTCAAGCTGTCTAGACAAAAAAAATGGGTTCCAAGTGCACAGTTGTACATGTAGTGCGTGTTTGGAGTGTGCCCCATTTGTCTGCTAATAACTCTTGTATTACAAAAGAAGGTGGTTGCACAAAAATATTTGTTGGGGCATTATGATCTAGGGTTGCCCCATATTTAGCTAGTTTGTCTACTACTTGATTTTACTCCCTGTAAGTGTGCATCACCCATGGTCTATCCAGTTGATGTAGTAGGTACCTGCATTCATGAGTTAAGGATGAGTAATGAGGATTTAGGTAACGGAGTAAAGAAATTATCTCAGTTGAATCCACATTGACTTCCAGTAAGGTGATATTGTATTGGAGAACGAGTCGTAAAACTTCTTGTAGACCAGTAAATTCCATATAATTGTGATTTCCCATTGGCCTTGTACCCATATAACCCAGTAACCATTTGAATGTGGAATCTTTAATTACACCCAAAACCCCGTTTTTGGTTAGGGATATTACAGGCTCCGTCAGAATTTAATTTATAGAACCCATTTGCAGGAGGGTTCCATTTAACGTGTATGTGTGCAAGTTGTGTATGAATTGTGTTATGATTTAGACCTATGTGGAATAATTCGATGCTTGGCCTATAATGTGTTGAATGTTAGGAGAATGAGTTTTGCCTTCAAAAGAAGTGTGATTCCGACTTTTCCATATGTGCCACTGGGCATAGGGAATTAAAATATGGGAGCTTGTTTGAGTGTTGGTAAAATTGTTTTGGCAAAATGCCTTAGTAACCCACTAAACTTGTCGAGAATTATTAGTTTCCTCCCCAAACTATATCTGGTTCGAATTATCCCCCTACACTAGAATAAGTGAATTTAACCCCNGCAGGCAAACAAAATGAGTATTAAATTTTAATATTAATAACTAAAAAAAAGGGAAAAAAATAAAGAAAAGGTAAAAGGCAGAAACGTTAGAAGTAAAACATTTGCCCTTTCATTTTTATAAACACCCTTCTCTCTCTGTTAAAAAATTTCTCAAATGCCTCTTCTCATGCCTCTTCAATAGAGTAGAATAAGACTTCAATTGTGGTGTATTTCTGATCATTTGTGGTTTCTTCTCCGGTCATCAAGCTTTTTTAGTGGTCTTCTCCAACTATTTCAAACAGACAAAATCAAAAGGTTAGGGAATTCAAGCATTACTTTCCGATTAGGGTTTTGTAATATATAACAAAGATGAATATCGATTTGTTGTCTATCTTCTATTTTGTTGAGTTAAGGCTTTCAAAATTGAATTTTTAAGTGTAAAATCAGTGATTTTGTGCATGCATATAACGTAGGGTTTTCTGTAATAACTTACAAAATGTAGGGGTTTTTTATTTTTATATTTTAGAATTGTCTGAATGTATGTTATTCGGGTTATTTTAGTTATTTTGAATGTATTGCAAGAATTCTTCTGCTATTTTAGTTTAGCTCACTGTTGGTGGATTATTTTATGTAAAAGTGAATCTTTTTCTGTATTTTATTTGTATCTAGCATTTCTTTAATATGTTACAACATTGTACTATTAATTTTAAAAGTTAAATATTGATGAATTATGTATATGGTTGTAGGTTGTCCCATGGCTTCTAAGTACTTTAATTTTAGATGGAAAATTGGTGTAATGTTGGTAAGTGAAGTAGGGCCCGTTTTTGTTGGAGGTAGGATTGAGTATTCCTTCAATATTGATTTTGATCACTTATATATCCCTGAATTAGTAGATATTGCAAAGAATTTTGGGGTTACTAAATTGGGAACCACTTATATTGCACCTTCTAAGGGTGGCAAATTGGTAAAACTAGAGAAAGACAAGGATTTGTTAGACCTTGGAGCATTGTTGAATGATGGGGACAAAATAGATATATTTATCTCCAATGACTCTAATTTTGAGGATGTGGGGCATGTTGGCCAACATGTGAATGTTGAAAAAGGGGGTGGTAGTCAATTAACTAATATAAATAGAGGCAACAGGGAATCTGAGCCTTTATTTATTCCACGCCCACCAATAATTGCACCAGCTCCAACTATAGATCTCGGTCTAGAGTTTCCTTTTTCTCTAAATACTACTGAAAGGGCTGAAAAAAAATATAAGAGAGGAAGTAGATGTTGCTAGTGGTGATTTCCATAGAGAAGGTTCTGCTAGTGGAGATCTAAACAATTCCAGTACTTCCTCTGAGGAAGATGCAGGCACTGAATAAGAATTTGAACTTTCTGATGATTATGAAAGTGATGTCCATGAAGAACTTAGGGTTGTGAAACAAGATCTAAAGGCTTACAAAGTAAAAAAAGGGAAAAGAAGTAGGAAAGAAAGACCTGATGGGTTTCTAGGTGAGGCTGGACTGGATGAAGGTTATGATGATATTGATAAAGAAAGAAAAAATTTGAAGGATAAATTGGGAGGTGATGATGATGAGCCATATTACGACTCATCAGAGGCTGACAGCTTTGCTAGTGAATCTGAAGGTGAAGCTGTTAGTGATGATGAAGTAGTAGAAGAAAACTTGAGGGTAAGGAGAAAGAGTAACAAGGTAGTATATGATCCTTCTTGTGAGAAAGTTATTTGGGAGATTGGCCAAGTATTTGAAAATGTGAAAGAGTTCAGAGAGGCTTTGACCAAGTATGTTGTAAAGAAAGGGGTTCAACTAGACAAATATAAAAATGAGCCAAGTAGAGTTAGGGTGAAGTGCAAAGATGGTTGTCCTTGGATGATATATGCTGGCAAGGAAGATAGGAGTTCAAATTTCATAGTCAAGACATATAATCCTAGACATAAATGCCATAAGACCAACATCAACTTTCTTTGCAATTCAAAATATCTAGCTAATCATTATAAAGAGAGGATTATTTCACAACCTACCATTAAAGGTTGGAAAATACAAGATCTTGTTAGGGAGGACTTTGGTGTGTATGTGGGTAAGGCTATTTGTTTAAAGACAAGAAAAATTATTTTGAAAGAAGTCATGGGAGATCATATTGCTGAGTTTGGTAGACTTTTTGACTATAGAGATGTGCTTCTACAAATAAATCATGGTAGCACATGTATAGTTAAGGTAGCTGATTTAGAAGATGGTAAGAAAGAGTTTATAAGCTTCTATATATGCTTTGCCTCTATGAAGAGGGGATTCTTGGAGGGATGCAGAAAGTGTATAGGACTGGATGGCTGTTTTTTGAAGGGGATATGCAAAGGACAATTATTAGTTGCAGTTGCTAAAGATGGAAACAATCAAATGTTTCCCATAGCATGGGCCGTTATTGGGACTGAAAAAAAGGAAACATGGACATGGTTTATGAGAATATTGCAAGAAGACTTACAACTTGGAGATGGAAATGAGATCACTATTATCAGTGACATGCAAAAGGTATGATACCATACTGTTATTTATTGCTTTTTTACTGTTTCTATTGTTATTTATTATTTCTTTTTCTAATTTTAGGGTTTTGTTAGTGTTGCTGAAGAAGTATTTCCAGCTTGTGAGCACAGAATGTGTGCAAGACATATTCTGTCAAACTGGTCAAAAAAATGGAGGGGAATTGAAAGAAGAAAAAAGTTTTGGAGTTGTGCTAGAGCAACATATGAGGCTGAATTGAAAAAGAGGCTAGATGAATTAAATACATTGGGTCACAATATTGTTGAAGATCTTATTTCATACAACAAAGAAAGATGGTGCAAAGTCTACTTCAAAGAATTCTCCAAATGTGACAGTGTGGACAATAATATGTCGGAAAGCTTTAATGCCTGGATATTGGGAGCTAGACACAAGACAATTGTGTCAATGCTAGAAGAAATTAGAGTCAAGGTCATGATAAGGATACCTAAGATGAGGGCCTTTGCTAAAACTTGGGTAGATGAGATATCTCCAATGACACTGAAGAACTTCAACACTAATGTGGAGAAGTCAATGAAGTGTAAGATTCATTGGAATGGAGAACATGGCTTTGAAATTCAGGAAGGTATAGCTAAGTTTATTGTTCACCTGGAAAGAGGATATTGTAGTTGCAGGTCATGGCAATTGAAAGGTATTCCTTGTGCACATGCCATAACAACAATGCAGTTTAGGATGATTGATGCATCTGAGTCAATTGCATCATGGTACAGAAAGGAGACATATTTACGAGCTTATTCCAATTTCATACAATCTGTTCCCAATATGATAATGTGGCCAGCTATATCAAATCCAAAGATTGAGCCACCTACAGTTAGAAAAATGCCTGGCAGGCCAAAGAAGAATAGAAGAAAGGAGGAAGGAGAAATTAAAAGAACTGGAAAGTTATCAAAACGGGGAATAGCTATGACATGCTCGATTTGCAAGTCCATTAAACACAATAAAAGAAGCTGTCCTTCAAGGCCTGAAGCAACATCAGCCACAAGAACAACAGAGGTAAATTTTATATACCCCTCTTACCTTTAAATTATTGACACATTAGTATTTTAACTTGTTATATTGTTATATGTCAGTATAATGCTACCCTACAGTCATCTACTGGAAGTACAAGAAAGAGAAGTGTTGTTGATAGTCAACAAGAATCTACAAGCAAGGGAGGTGAAGCTAAAGCGAGCAGACGTAAGTACAAGAGTCCAAGAGTTGTGAGGCATGGTGTATTTGTATCTAAGACTGGTTATAGTTGTGTTAATGTAAGTATTTTCCCAGTTTACTATCAATTTATTACTTTCATTGTCTTTGAAGTTATATTTAAATTTTTTCTCATAATTACAGCAAGGTTTGCAAAGCAGCAGATTAGTTACCACACTACAATGATAAATTCCGCAGAAGTTACAAGTATTGGGTATAAGCCTAGCAAGTCTTTGAAGTGGAAAGGAAAGCCCGCTATTAGCCAAAGACAACTCCAAATGAAAAGTACTATGCATAGAGTCCCAAAAAAAAAAAGCAAAGGCTATTAAGATTCAAGCAAGATCTCAAACTGAAAAATCTCCATCCAAAGAACCAACATAGATTTGTTCTATGATTAAGTTAGTTTTTTTGGTGTATGCTTAGTATGTAATCAGATGATTACAACTTTCTTTGTGGTAGTATTTTGTGTAGCGTTTTTGGTGAAACAGCTCTTTTGTGATACTGGTAGTATTTTTGTAGCTGTTCGATACTAGTAGTATTTTGTGTAGCTGTCAGATATGTTTGGTAAACAGCTCTTTTATATACTGTCCAGATTTTTGTTGCTATCCAGTTTTGTAAACAACGTGTATCTATCTTACATATCTTCCCATTATTTGCAGCAACATGAAATAGCATTTTCATAGTTCTAACAGTAAACTTTTGTGAGGTATAGAGCAGTGACTAGTGCATATTACTCATGTTGCAGTTGGCGCAATTGTTACTGGAAGAATTCTTAAAGGAAGGTATATTTGCTTCCTTTAGCTAACAAAACTGATACTATGGACAAATATGGCAAAATTGAAAGTCTAAGCGGGATTGTGGAAGCTGCTGCATTATTTGCATTATTCCCATCAGAGAAGTTATAGCAACATAAGTAGCCATATCTATTTCTAGTTATGCAAAGTACCTTCAGATATCTATACAAGATTTTGTGAATGACTTAAAATGATAGATTTGTGATACAAGATTTCTGTTCATTCTACTATTTATCAAATACATAGATACCAATTAAAGTTAGATTAAATTGGACACCAACCAAAATACAACATCACATTGCATACTACACTAATACATAGACTAATCTTCAATGTTCTTCCCCACTTTAGCTCATGCTCTTGTTTATTTCTCTTCTTCAACAAACCCAAAATAACAATATTAGCTTGTTTTGGAAATTTCGGTTCATACCACTCAAAACAATTACAAGCCTTACAACCTTTAACCTGCACAAAAAGCACAACTATCTACTTTTTTAGTGAAAAATCCTAGAACAAACCCAACATAAAGTATAATCAATTTAAACTTTGTAAACATTACTTTATCATACCTTATAGTTTTTACAACCAAAAAATCTTCTTCCCAGATTGTCATTTGACCATGAAATTTTCAAATGTGATAGATACCCACATTTACAAAGTGGGTTCATCTTCAATGTCTTGGAGAAAACTAGGATGAAAACCAAGAATATCACTAAGAACTTTAATAATTAAAGAAGAAAATCAAGAATATTACAAAAAGAAAGAACAATAATTATGCTTCAATGGTGGAGCTTATAAAAAGGAAAAAGTGAAAGAATAGCCGTTGATCAGGGATTTTTTACAGTTAGGGCTTATTATGTGGCCATTTTTAACCAGCCTCACGTGCCATACACCATTTGAGATCACTTCTCGTGCCATGTGGCAGCTCGGGGGTGGGGGGGTTTAAATTCACTTATCCTAGTGTAGGGGGTAATTCGAACTAGAGATAGTTTAGGGAGGAAACTAATAATTCCCGACAAGTTTAGGGGGGTACACGTGTTTGCTTAATACACACGCATCATGAAGGTCCATAATTTTTTTAGCAATAAGGATAATATACTACAATAACTAGACATCAAGTCTAGACATATCACAAACCAAGCTGCCTTTGTTGGCACCTATGNAACTAATAATTCTCGACAAGTTTAAGGGGGTACTAAGGCATTTTGCCAATTGTTTTTTAAAATGAATTGTGATAGTTTTAATGGGGTGTTCTCATGAAATCTTTGAAGGTTGATATTAAGATAGTTAATGCCTAATTGGTGCCAGATCAGTTGTGTTTGGTGACATTAGAAGAATAGATGTGCAATGATTTCATCGTTGGACTGACAGACTGGGCAAATAGTATTCTGGGTTAAGTGTATATTGTGGAGATAATTTGTTGTGGGTAGGTGTTGATGGCTCATAAGCCAAAGAAAATGCTTTACTTTTTGTGGTATTTGAAGGTTCCATAACCATTAGAATGGATTGTTTTCTGGTTTAGCACGCAATTATTTATACAGAAATTTTACCGTGAAAATTCCCTTGGGGGTGAGGCCCAAGTAGATGTGATCATGGGAATTTTTATTTGTGATGGTATGGATATATTGATTACTAATTAGGTCATTTAAATTATCAGGTAGTTCAAAAGGTACTTTAGGAATATTTATTAAGTTCCCATCAATATATAGCGCTAATTTGGATGATTGGTCATTGCGGGGTAGGGGTCCTTAAATTAATTTTCTAAGTATCAAGTTGGTTCCTATCTAAGGTTCTGTCCAAGAATTGATATGGTTTTCATTTGTAGTATGCCACTTGATTCTATTTTGACATGAAGCCCACCCTTGTTTGATGGCTTTCCAATTGGAGGAAATGTTAGTAGATGTCGTAGTCTTTGAGTATTTTGATATTAGGATTGAAGCCCAGTGGAATGAAGGGGATTAAAACAACCTCAAGATAGGGATCTAAGTAAGGCATTATTCTATCCGAAAGATTACGAATTCTTGGTCCTCCACTATTTTTTGATAATTAGATGTTTTCCCATTTAATAAGGTTTATTTTACGTTTTAGGGCTATGGATCCCCAAAGAAAGTTTCTTTGATATCGTTCTAACTTATTGGTAATATTAGTAGGAAGCTTGATCAGTTGCATTACATGATTTGGTAGGCAATTTAGGGTAGCTTTTATTATGGTTATTCGTCCTGCCATAGTTAGAAAATTTATTTTTTACCCGGTTAGTCTATTTTTGTAGTTATCAGGAAGAAATTGAAAATAGGATGTTGAAGGGTTTTTAGTGAAAATTGGATATCCAAGATATTTTCCAAAAGTTTACCCTTCAGTCATTTGGAATGAATGGATCATTTGTTCTCTATCCATTGTGGAATTGTGTTTAGGGAAAAATATTTTTAATTTAGTATAATTAATTGTTAAGCCCAAAATCTTAGTAAAAAGGTTGAGTGTATCAATTATAGCATTGATGCTCTTTGTAGTATTTATTGAAATTAAAGTAATGTCGTCAGCAAATAAGAGGTGAGAGATTTGTGGGCCTTGTCTAGATAATTTGATGGGTTGCCATTTTTGGTAATCTACTTCAATATGTATTTTACGTGAGAGCATTTCCATACAGATGATAAAAATATAAGGTGATAGGGGGTCCCTTTGACGAATACCTCTTGAAGGTGAGAAAAAAGGGTGGGTTGTCCATTAATGAGAATTGAGATGGAAGAGGTAGTAATGCAGAACATTATTAATTTGATCAACTTAGGTGGAAAATTAATGTAATATAGTGTATCATGTATGAATCCTCATTCCAGTTTGTCGAAAGCTTTATCTAAGTATAATTTGAGTAAAAAAGAAGACTAAGCACCTCTTTTTTCTTGAAACTCTTGTACTATAAGTGCATTATCAGATGCCCTACGATTAGGCAAGAAGGTTGATTGTTCCGGGCTAATGAGACTAAATAGAATTGGTTTAATACGGTGGACTATGATTTTCGTAATTAATTTATAAAGTATGTTACAAAGGTTTATGGGCCGATATTGGGTGATGAGGGTAGGTTGTTGTTTTATAGGGATAAGGCATAGATAAGTTTTATTAATTTCTGAAGGGATTTGTTGAGTGTTAAAGACTTCCTCACAAAAAGAAGTGACTGGAGAGTTCACTTGAGTCCAATAATTTTGAAAGAAGTATGGATGTAATCCATCCGGCCCAGTTGCTTTAAAAGGTTGGAAAGTTTTAAGGGCATTGGTGATTTCTAGTTATGTAAGGGGTGAGTTTAGTTTTGAATAGTCATGAGAACTGATGGTATGGTGACCAGCTTTAAATTTAGGGTGTGTGTTATGGGTGTGACTAGTGGTGAATAAGCTATAATAATAGTCTTCAATGGAAGTGTTGATTTCTTTTTTATCTAAGATCTAGTTTCCAACTAAGTCTTTAAGAGCCGTAATACGGTTAAGTCGACGTTGTTGTAAAGTAGTAAGATGAAAAAATTTTGTGTTAACATCTCCATCTTGGAACCAATTTATTCTTGATTTTAATTTTCAAAAATCCTTTTCAATTTTAAGAAGGTCATTATATTGGGTTATTAGGCCAGTTTCTAGATTTTGTAAGAAATGGCTAGTAGTGTATTTGGGAGAATTTTGGATCCCTTGTATTCTTTCTAGAAGAATTTTTTCTTATGAAATATGTTACCTAAAATAGTTCTATTCCATTCTTGGATATGATTTGTAAAATCTTTGATGGCTGTTAGTAAAAGCTTATTCAGTATCAAATTGTGGGTAATTATGGAAGGGAGCTGAGGGTGAGTTATCCAGATTTTTTCAAATCGGATTTTTTTTTCATTAGTTGATTTATGTTTTTTAAGATTTAGTAGTAACAGACTATGGTTGGAATGTGTTTGGGTAGATGGTGAACTGAAGCTTCTCGGTAGTTGTTTAACCACTCATAATTTGCTAAACATCTATCTAATCTTTCCAATATACGATGAGATAGGTGTCTATTATTGGTCCATATACCTGTATATCCTAGGTCTACTAAATTACAGTAGTTAAGACATTGGATAAAATTATTACTCCTTCGATTATTTATTTTTAATCCATCATATTTTTCTGTTGACTTAATGATTTCATTAAAGTCACCCCCCTATTAACCAAGGTAATCTAATTTGATCATGTAAAATTCGTAGGTTATCCCAAGTACGTGCATGAATATTATTCTTTGCATAAATAACAGATAATAACCAAGATTTAGGGTTTGGATGTACCTGGATAATAGAATGAATTTCTTGGCTCATGGCAACTACCTGATCTAGCTTAATTTTATCATCCTTCCAAAGTAATGCAATTCCTCCAGAAATTCCTTCAGCTGATGATTGAGCCAAGTGTGAAAAAATCAAACTCAGACTTAAGTATTTCATGGACTTGCATGTAAGTTTCCAGTAGTGCTATCAATGCAGACTTATGATAGCTGAGCATGGAACAGAAGTTACGTTTGAACTCTGGTGACTATGCCCCTCTACACTTTCAAATAACAAACTGCATAGATTGATTATTGAGTGGGCTGGGTGGAGCCCCCCTCTCTATTGCTGAGGATCTGTTCATTAGTGCTGAGATTAACACTATTGCAAATTTTTTCACTTCTGGATTTCTTGTTGGACGGATGTTTAGTGAGACACTTAGCCGTTCTGGTGGACAAGTGATGATCACTTTTCTTTCGTACTATTCTTTTAGGGTGTAAGTTTTGTTCCCATTGAGATAGCATAGTAGTGGGAGGGTTTCTCGTATCTCTACCGTGGTGGCTGCCACTTCCAATTGAGCTATTTCATCTAGTTCGTATGGAGGTAGACTGGTGTGTTGGACTAGACTCGTTAGTGGAGTGAATGGATGATATGGTGAAGCTTAGGCATAGAGTGGTATTATGGGTGCTATGGATGTACGGGGTTGGATCCAAGGAACAAAGGTTTGAGGTGGTTGTTGTGGTGGGTAAAATGGTAGCTCTAGTGTGTTCAATGGTGGTGATGGAGGGACATGTAGTGGTAGTGGTGTTGGAAAGGGTGGTGCCATTTGTTGGTGTTAGTTGAAAGCTGATGGTAGGTGCATGGCCCATAGAAATTGGTTGTAAAGTGTCACCCCTATACGCATCCCCTCAATGACTATCTGTGCTATGTCCGCCGGATTTTGTATCATCACTATGACATCCTAGTTGTCGATTTGCATAGTGAAGGTTAATGCATGTTCTTGCAGGCTTATCTCGAGCCAGGACTGGGAAAATGTTTGTAGTGGTGGGTATTGAGTTATGTAGATGGGTGTGAGTTGTGAAGGATGGTCGTGTGGTGGTTGCATGGTGATTGTGTTGAGAAATATGGGGTGTTGGAGAAGGTTGGTGTTTGTGAAGGAAATTGTTCTCTGGTGGTGGAAGTTGTCGTGTGATCGGTTGATTTGGGGAGTGTATGTGTGTGAGGGAAGGGTCGTTTGTAGTTGTAGGGATAGTAGGTGTTAATGCTGATGTTTTAGGGTGTTCTTGGTTATGAGAGGGTAATTGGGTCGGTTGATTTGATATGGGTAATGAAGCTATAGCAGTAATTTCGTGTGATTTACGGTCATGTGAAGGGCTAGTTGGGATTGCTTGTGTAGGGTATTGGGCTTCGCCAGTCGTTGGTGTTAATGTTTGGGTGGGAAGAGTGG